CACAGCCCCCTGCCCAGGGTCCCAGCTCCCCCCTGCAGGGCCACAGCCCCCCTGCCCAAGGCCCATAACTTACTTTAGCAGCAGCTGCGGGAGTAGGATGCTCCGAGCCATGGCAGCAGGACCCAACACAGCACACAGGGACCCCACGCCAGGCCCAGCCAGGTCCTGCTGTCCTTGGGGTTTCTCTGCTGCCCAGCAAGGCCAGGCCATGGTGACAGGATGCAGGGACTGCGTGCTGGGTCCTCCTGCCCTTGGGGCCCCTCTGCTGCCTGGCTGGGCCAGGCCCTTGGTGGCACGACCCAGCGCAGTGCATGGGGACCACGTGCTGCGCCCAGATGGGTCCTGTCAGCCCTGGGGCTGCTCCTGCCACCTGGCCAGGCTGGGCCCATGGTGGTAGGACCCAGCGCGGCGCACAGGGATATCATCTGACACAGAGAGGGAGGTACGTGCATGCTCATCTGGACACGCCCCGTGAGGGCACATGGATGACTTAAAGCCATGAAAGATAACTTAAGTCTCCCTACTACCCTGGGCCATGAGTTCTGTGAAATGCTTCCTATGGGCATGGTACAGAATCTTCCTGATGTCTTTAGTTTCCTTAAACCAAATCTGGAGCCCAACTGGAGATGTGGGTTTTTCCATTAACGTCAGCAATACAGAAACTGAACCTTGGTTACTGGTTTAAATGCAGTTCCATCTGCTGGGGGTGTATGTGAAACCAGAGAAAGATCATGTTCTAGATGCTGTTTCTCCAAGTCCAAACACCCCCAGTGTAAATGGTGTATGAATATCTGTTTTTGATGGTATGAATCAGGGGGCTAGGGATTAATTGGGAGGAAAAACTGACCTAGTAGGATTCCAGTTGCAGGGAGGCATGAGAGAGCACACGCTATTGCTGTCTGTGCTCTAAGTGTTCCTTTGACACACAAAATACTCCAGCACTCACTGCAAGCACTAAATTCCCTTAAAATTCTTTACAGAAAAACTAAAGATAAATGAAACAAAAGCTTTTCAGGAAGTAGACTCATGACAAATCTGTTAACTTGATTCCTAAAATACCTAGGAAAACCTAAGTGTAACAGTCTAATTTCATATAAACAGGGACTGAAATACATGAACAAGAGTTAGAAACTCTTCCATTTGTAAATAATCTGTTCAGGAGTGCAGTGGAGCAGTGCGAACAAGATAAACTAGATAAGTGAGAATATTTTCCACCTGGCAGATGGGCTGGTGACTCTAACCGTGGTTATATAATGGGAATTATGGTGTTCTTTGTTCTGTTCTGGTGACACATGCTAACCTTTTAATGAAACTCTAAACACAAAGACTAAATGTTCTGTACTCATGAGCTTCTCACAAAATATATTTTCCTTAGCAAAAGCGGTAGGCTAGAGGTGTCAGACTCACCTGGCATGTGGAGATCAGGAAGGGAGCACAGACCAAGGAGCAGAAAGCAGAGCAGCAGCTCTGGCAGAGGAAGGGGATTCAAGTGGCCCTCAGTACTTATTTGTGGGACACCCGCCAAAAAGGTTGCCCCCCACTGTTGTAGACACTGATAATCTAACCAGGTTAAAAAAAATGGACAAATTAATGCAGGAGAGGTGCATCAGTCAGTATTAATGTAATAGCTAGGTTGCAATCTGAAAATTAGGACTTTATAGACCTCTGAATGTTGGAAGCTGTAAGAGAAGAGGGGCAGGGCCCTATCAGTCTTGAAATGGCCCACATGCATTCCTATGCCCTCTTTTCATTGGCATCCTCTTTGCCACTGTGAGATACAGGACACTGAGCTAGACAGATATATGGTTTGACCCAATATTATATTTCTAGGCTAGGTACAGACATTAAAAAAGTTGGATGTAGAATCATTCTAAGGTACATGGTTTCTGTAAGTGGTATAGTTTAGTTTAGTAGTGAACAGAATACACATTTGCCCTTTGGTGGGGGATGGAGGGAGTGGGCAAAACTTAGACCAGGTTCTGGCATTTTTAAATAACTCTGTGCACCAAAATCCTGATCTGTTATGGGTATAGACTGGCTTCCGATCACTTGTACTGGTAAAAGTGTAATGTCTGGACCTATCCCTTATGTTCTTATTCCATGTAGAAGGTGATGCCATAACCAGTGGGCTGTTTTTGTGTGTGCACATGTGTTTGATACATTTTGTGCTTATCCTAATGTTGAATGGAATATATTTTTTTCATCTAGAAAATGTTTGTGGGGCAGGAAAACAGATTCCTGCTCAGATCTGAAACGAACAGTTTGAAGTGTAGTTGCCAGAAAAGCAGCAGTAAAAGTAGCAGCTAGTTACCAACATAACCTCTTTTCATGTGTATTCAAAATTATATCTGCTCCTTTTTTGGGAACATTCAAACAGTGTGCCTGGCAAAGAGCAAGACATAAATTCTGACCCTGTAGCTAACCCAGCACAGGCACACTCTTGTGCCTAGACAGAGCACCATTGAATTCAGTGAGGTACTGCATGGGTGTTAAGATCTGCTTACACAGACTGAATTGTATAATCTGTCCCCAAGTGACTAAACTAAAATTGTTCGTTTTTGTTTTGTTTGTTTTCCCTCTTTATACTGATCAGTACTGCAGAACCATATAAGTTAAGTGGGAGAGCTCATGCAGTCCAAAATTGTTAGATACTCTGCAGTGGAAGCTACCTATTAATAGTTGTGATGCTTGAGGCAGAAGCAAAGCATTTTTACTTTCCATTTCTAATTGAGTTTGCAAAATACACAAATTGCTGGGGAAAAATGAGGTCTTTTTTTACCTGTAAACCAAGAACAGTGGAAAGGAAAAAAATATTATAGCTTAAATAATCCTATATGCATACACAATTACTATGTGCAGTTATGCCATAAACAGATAACACTTGTATCCAAGAATTTCAGGCCACATATATGTCATCGTAAACACTTGGGGCAGAAATTATGTGTGTATTATTGTTTGCAGTCAGCAATTCCAAAATATGTGCCAGGGAAAAGATATACAAACTCTTGATGCCATTATTGCAGATTTGCTTTTCATTGCACAACTGGGCATTCAGATCACAAAATCACCATTTTAAAAATCTGAAAAACCCTATTTACTTTATTAAACTTCTAGTGGATTTTTTACAAAATGCACTACATGGAAACCACATGCTACAAAGTTTTGTCACTTGTTTTCAGACTAAAACCAAAATGAAACTTTTGTGTAGGCTTTGCATGAGCTAAGCTGTGCTACACAGAGGTGGTTAAAGAGGCGGGTTGAGGAGCAAAACAGAACTTAAAAAATGAAGCTATCTCATCTTCTAAAACAAAAAGAACCCCAAAAAGATATGGGCTGCAAATGGAGCAGAAGGTTTTCCTTAAATACATATTGGAAAAAGAATATGAGTTTAGCAACAGTCAACAGGACTTCAGAAATGAATGGTCAATAAAGAAAGTGTATAATGAGTACTGGTAGTTTTTCATCTTATTTGTACTGTAGCTCTACAGTAGTGAATGGTTTCTGCTGACATAAGTTAAACTTGAATCCAGGATCTTTTTTTGTGCTGTATCATGCATACCCAGTGATCGAGCTTGACATTTCTAAAAATATTTTATGCCTCCCTAACAATTTGCTCTTTTTTTTTTCCCTTTTCATGTACTTACCAATTGTGATCTAGAGTCTGCAAGATCCTGTAAATAAACTAACTGAAAGAACAGAAAAAGAGGATTTGCAGACTGAGAGCACCAAGTCAGTCGATGATCAGCAGAGTCAGTGAGTCATGTGTCCAACATCTCAGAATAATACTTTTTTTTCATCTTCCATGTGCTTTCATTGAGTTTGCCTTTATTGTAAGGAGACTGTCTCAGTTGGAATTGTACATAGACATGCTGTACAGAGAGACATGAACACTGTAGCAAATAGCATTGCAATGTTGATAATTCCTGTTATGGCGCAGGATTTTTATAAGAAATTCAGCTAGAGGGACAAATTCAGGAGCTTTATGGTAAATTAGAAGTGAGCAATCTGGAGTTTAATTAGGCCTTTGAACTAACTGTTTTCTTCTTCTATACTAGCTTTCTCTTTATTTTGTTCAGTTTGTCCATCATATTTCTTTCCAGATTAAAAAAAACAAAGTTGACTGCTTCATTCAGGAGAAATGCTTCTGTTTCTCTGGTTTTTTTTTCCCTTGCCTTGCCTTCCTCCTTGCCCTCCAGGAAAAGCATCTTAATTCCTGCTTCATTTGAGCAGGGATTAGTTTTTGTAATTAATACAGTGTTGGCTAGCAACCCAGTGAAGCAGCAGGCACTTTAGAAAAAGTGCATCTAAATGAGCTGATTCTGTTACCTCTAGCTCTGAAGGAAGAGGGATATATTAATACATAGCTCATTCATATTTGGAGTGGCTGATCCAGAGTGGGAGACAGAAGGGGTGAGATGTGATCTCTCTCTCATGGAAACATCAGGGCTTATTTCCAGACAGGTGATGTGTTGGTGTAATCCTTCTACCACCTGTTGTTTTGAGCACTCAAGGTTAAGTAAGGTACCAAAAGTAAGTAAACTGATCATGTGTCAGAAAATGAACATTGCAAGTAATGGTTACTGGGTTTTATTGGCTGTTTTAAGAAGACATTTAGGAAAGAGTTCCAGTTTTTTTATTTATTTTAGATACCTCATCTGCTTACAAACAATAATTTAAGGAGGTCCTATTTTAGATATCAGAGTTTAGAAAGGACACAAGGAAGTAACATGATAGTTTTCACGGGAGTACTATGTATCCAGTCCTCCTCATATCACTGAAAAAATAAATGATTTTTTTTAAAACTGATCACTAAACGTCTAGGGTGAACATGAGCTTTGTTTCTTGAAGCTTTCTATCATACACTTCAGAGCTTCTGCCTAAGAAGCTTCCTCAGTTTCCATACTGTAGTATAGTTACTGCCTCCTGCAGTTTTAAAGAAACAGTGCATCTATCGTCTGGGCTAAAATACTGTGTTTACTTGATTCCAAGGCAATGTTTTTCCCCCATTCATCTTGGGGAAAATAAAGACTCGTATTAGAATTGAGTATCAGCTGAGAGAAGTGGCTGTGCAGGGAGCCTGGCTGGGTTGGGGACAGCATCAGTGGCAGTCAGATTCCTGCTTCCAGTGTCTGCTCCCTGCCCAGCTCCCCTCCCCTTTGTCTCCCTTGCTGACAGGGAACCAGGCGGGGAAGGAGGAATCTGTGAACTGCTGCTGTCTCCAGCCAGCTGGGCTCCTTGTACCGCAGGTCCCTACAGCTCTTAGCCGAAGTGGTCTAACATTCAGCTGTCACAGGCACAGGGGAGCTCCAGAGCTGCTCCTGCCCCATGCTATAGAGAGCAACTGTGCTGGGAGCCCAGCTCTGCACTGCATACAGCCCGCTCCCAGCCAGTGGGGGAGACAGGGGAAGGGGAGAGAGGAGTCGGCAAGGAAGGAGGAACCTGTACACTGCCAAGCATGAGGGAGAAGCAGCTCAGGGCTCCCCTGCACCAGGATCAGTAGAGAAAGCAGGGGAAGAGGGAGAAGTGGTAGGGTTGCAGGCAGAGGGTTAATGGTGCAGAAGCAGGCACCAGGGGAGAATGAACAAGGTGTCTGCCTGGTCTCTGCTTTCCTGCATGCCTGTCCCTGCCCTCCACCTCTGCTTTCCTACCACAACAGTGGAGGGGACAAATTTAAGATGACCCTCCTATAATCAGATTGTACACAGATTTATAATTTAGAATCTGATTATTGGGGAGGGGGGTCATCTTAAAGTTGCCTTAAATTTGAAGTTATCTTGGATTCAGCTAAATACAGTAAGTGGCTTGACACTAGTGAGAGTAGTAGGGCAAGAAGCAGGGTTTGGCTCAGTGCATCAGTTGCCATGTAAGGACCATGCTTACTTGTACACCAGTTTTTCTGTCCCTCAATGACAGGTGGGGCAGAAGTTTTCCCCCTCTTTTTTGTCCCTTAGAAATCCCTGTGGAAACACTGAAAGATTTTAAACTATTTTTTATTATTTAAAGGAATGGAGATTGACATGTATTGCTGTCAGCAGACCATGCATTCTTTTGGTACTCAGCAGCATGGACTATTGCAATAGCCAGAGCATGTCTATACTGTTATTTAGATCTGCATCAAAAACCCGTAACACTAGCAGTCAGTCTTGAATCTATGCTAATGATGTGATACAATGAACCTGGGTATAACTTGCATGTGGGCTGAATCTGGTCCACCATATTTCACTGCTGTTCCAAAGCAAATGGGAATGATTTTGTGGGGGATGGTTATATATCCTTAGGGGTGATTATGAAAATCTAGATATACAGAATCCAATGTAGGTTGTCCACAACAGATATTTGGACAGGTAAAAAACAATAATTTACCAGCCTATATGGGAAGTGCAATTACTAGTCTAATGCTATTATGATGCAACTGAAAAAAGAGATTAATCCAAAATGTTATCCCTTTAAAAAAATATACTGAAGAATAGGAATATGCTCTTGATTTTTTCCCCTCTTCAATTTAAGGTTGATTTCATTATATGAGGAAAACCACAGCAAGGAACCAAGCTATTCAGGTATTATTTCATGTCATATTTTCAGACTCCTAATGTACATAATGTTTTTTCATTTGCATTGTGTATGCGCTGTACATATGTAATGTATGTTTGCAAACAACTTCAGAGAGACTTGTAGAGTTTAAGGCCAAAAAGAACTATTGGACCATCTAGTTGACTTCCTGTATATTATCCTGTTACACTATACTGAGCCAAATTGTCCAGAAAGGGATCCAACCTTCATTCAAGGGCATCAGGATACAGAATACAATTTACTTTGGTAGTTTGTTCCAATGGCTAATTTTGTTCAGTGTTTAAAATAAAGGATTTCTCCTTTTTCTGGCTTCTAGCAATAGGTTCTTGCTGTGACTTTTTCTGGCAGATTAAGGAAACTGCTACTTTCTGGAATTTTCTTTCCTAAAGGTATTTACACACTGAAAGTAAATCACCTGTTGATCTTACTTTTGATAACCTAAACAGAATGAACTCCATAAGGCTTTTTCTCCAGGCCTTGAATAATTTTTGTAACTCTTGGATTTTTCAGTGTCATTATTAAAAATACAGACCCTAAAACTGCATGGACTGTTTCAACAAATGCCTCATTCAGAGGAAGAAAACATCGCCCCTACTTTCTCCAATCCTGTTCATACTTCTGAGTGCTAGCCCTTTTAACTGCAATCTGCCATTAAGAACTCATAACTAATTGTTCATCATGATCACTAACTCCTATTCAGAGTTACTGCTTTTCAGGACCCAGTCCCCTGTTCCCTTGAGGTATATACAGATATTTGGGGAGGTCAGGAGCAGGTTAGATTGTGTTAAAAACGGCCACATGATCTAACTGAGTTCACCCAGGTGAAGGCCTTACACTTAGAACCTTAGGTGGGTCTAAGTGCAAACTGTACAAAAGTTCAGAAGGGTTAGATCTGTCTAAAAATGGCCAACCTGATCTCAGTTAACTGTATCTGGGAGGTAGTCTTACTTAGATCAGACTTCGGCAAGACAGCTAATTGAACTTCTGTAGAGTTTCCAGTGCAGCCCCAGGGATGGAAAAGCCCAGCCACTGACCCCAGGCCCAGGGATGCACTTTTCCTCCCCTGCCCTGGGCTTTTTCTAGCCTTCCTACACCTCCTCTCACACCCAAACAGACAAACCTCTCTCCTGCAGACCAGCCAGACCCCCACCCCAAGCCTGCCAAATGCCCTATCCCACAAGCTGCTCCTGGTGCCAGTTTTACCCGATCACCAGTGCTGGGAGCCAATAGAAGTAAGATGGAGTGGAGAGGAGGCAGGCAGGATCTGGGGCGGGTGGTTCACCATGGGGGTTGTTCATTTGGGGCTGTGGGGCAGTCAAGGGAATAAAAATATCCTCTGGTCCTGGGTGGGGGAAAGAGCCTCCATACTCCAGAAACCTCTCCCGCAGAGCAGCCAGCCCCCTTGATTCAGCGAAACCCTCCTGGACCCCACTAACCTCCCAATCCTGCCAAACCTTCCTGGACCCCATGGATCCCCCACAGACCCCGCTTGCCCCCCATTCCCTCACTTCCCCCCACCCAC